CCTAAATGCACAAATAAGATGCCGTAGTGATCACAGGTGAAACTCTGGGGTTTCTGAATATCCCAAGCGCGCATGGAAGTTTTGAGTAAGGAATAATTTATTCTTGAAATAATGGAATAAAAGATGCAATATGCCTGGTTTATCACTTGGTCCTTGGGCAGCCCTTAAGAGATGAAAAGCACTTGGCAAGCTAATGATATCTGCAATTGTAGTGATTAAGCTTCCTCTCAGTTGCCCTGCATCAGGACCGGTCACTGGAGCAGACCAGCTCATTCTCCAAGCCTATATTTTAAACCGTTTTTGTAGAGGGTTAAGTGTTCTTTGCAGAAGTTCAACAGCCTGCCCCATCAGCGTGTGTCTAACGGGTTATTTCAGAGATTGGAAATGTGACAATTGTATATGGTTCCTGGGATTAGCAAACGCTGCCTAAAGAGTCAGTGGTTTTGATTTTCTTCAAAACCTGCTGAATTGATGATTATCACGTAGCTTAGAATTAAGCAGACACAAATACACTACAGAGATGCCCAATGCCATGTTCAGAATTTTAAACCTAACAGGCACAGGGTTTTAAACCTAACAGGCACATAGACTGCCTGCCTGTGCCCCGGGGATTTGTCTGGCCATCCCTCTGCCCCGTGCAGGGCACAGCCAGGATGCAGGAGGCGGACCTCCTCGGGACGGCTCACTTGTGTATTTGAATTCTCAGTGGTCAGACGGCAAGTAGTATCGTCAGCGATGCTCAGTAAAAGCGGAAGGAAACGATTCTTGTTATCTTTTTTTAGTGGAAGCAGCATTTACTCTTTTGTTACCTTCTGCTTTTGGAACCATGTGAATCCGTCATTAAAACTGAAATAAGAAGTTAAAAAAACAATTTGGGTCTTATAGAATTGAGTTTATGTAATATACTCAGAGACAAGTAATGATGTCCAGTATGAACCGCCTAAGAATGGAAAACATTTTTAGATCCTTTAATAAAAAAATACCAGGGTACATTTTGTTCACTGGAAGAGAAGTCAGCCGGGGTAATTCTAGCTTTAAAGTAGAATGTCTTCGGGCACCTGGCTGGCTCAGTCGGTGGAGCTGTGACTCTTGATCTCAGGGTTGTGAGTTTGAGCCCCGCGTTGGATGTAGAGATTACTTAAAAATAAAAACTTTTAAAAAAGGAAGCGAAATGTCCTTTTTTGATATTTATTTCACCTGGCTTCCTCTCTCTTCTCAGCCCCATTGTTCTCCTACCCCCTCTCTCTTTCTTATCTATGTGGAATTAGGCAACCATCCTTGATCTGAGAACTTCCTAATACATGTAGCATAGAACATAGCTAACACAGTCCTCAAAGCAACATGTTATTTTGATAGTTTTTTGTTGTTGTTGTTGTTTTTGCCAAACAAAGCACATTGCTGGCAGTAATTACATCCTGAAAAACTATGAATGAATTCCATGCCATTTGATGATTGAGATGTAACCCCAAACAACCACACCAGGGATTTTTGTCCCATCCAGTCATGGCCATAACTCAGGATGGGTATTTAGCCCATCCGGACGGCCGCTAGAACCCAGGTGCCCCACCCCCGCCCGCCAGTGAACTTCTAGTGCCAGTTTGTTTTCTCTTAATTCTCGGAAGGCTGTGATGTCGCCTTCCCGATGAGCTGGAGGCAGAGTAAAGGACGCCCGACGTCGTGGCCATGTTTCCGTTGCATCTGGGTCCAGGCGGACTGCGAGTGCTAGTCTGGAGGTGCTGGCTGGAGGAGTGGGCTGCGGGAGCTTGTCACGGAAGCCTCACGATTGTGCACAGGCCACAGTGAGAACAGTGACGGATGGACACGTGCCTGAACTTCACCTGCCCCCGGATTAAATAGGCACCCCCAACCCCCGCCCGTTCAGTGCAGCGCCGAAGCCAGATGGAAAACCAGATCGAAATCTTCTCTCCGCAGCCCCCCCGCCGCCATGTGCTCAGATCTCTCCAGCAGCCTTGCTGACACATGGGCCTTCTTTGCTTGGCTGTGAGCTGCCCAAGGAGGAGGAACCCATGAGTCTGTCTTGTTGATGAAGGACTAGGCTCGGCGGTCAGCAGGCTCAGCCCGAGTTGGTTAAAGCCAGGAAAATGGTTGAATGGATGAGTGAGTGATTAAACCCGAGGAACTTTAGGATTAGCTATTCCTGGGAACACATACATTTTATTTTACTTATTTTTTTAAAAATTTATTTATTTATTTTTGAGAGAGAGAAAGAGAGCATGTACGGGGAGGAGCAGAGAGAGGTGGAGGGAGAGAGAATCCCAAGCAGGCTCCGAGCTGTCAGCGCAGAGCCCGATGTGGGGCTCCATCTCACAGTTCATGAGATCATGACATGAGTGGAAATCCAGAGTCGGACCCTCAACCCACTGAGCCACCCAGGTGCCCCTGGAAACCTATTAATTGATCATCCTTTATCAGTTTTAGAAATAAAAAGCCAGTATGTTTTAAGGGAGTTCTACTTCATTCTAGGACTTTAAAACATTTAAATTGTAATGCATTTATTTCAGAAATTCAACTGGACTATTTTCTCAGATGGCCGGGATGGAGAGGGGTGGTGGCTCACGATTACATCCTCTAAGGGGAGTATGTTTGCTCAGATTCTCATTTGCAAAATCCAAGGAGGACAGACAGGTCTCCTCCATGGCTATATTTCTTACCTTGTATTCTTGCCCTTCTTATTCCTATAAATGGCTTGGCTTTTTGCTTTATATCCCTCTATCACGCTATTTTCATCTAAGAATAATGCAGTCATAGTAACAGAAGGGACCACTTACTGAGCTCCTTCCCTGGGCTGTCTCTGCACTCAGTGGGGCCAGCCCACCCCGGAGCGGGGCTGTTCCCCAGGCTCGCAAGGAGCCCCCCAGACTCACAGACCTGCGTGATCCGGACCCTAGCCCGGACCCCCAGAGTCAGAATCTTCAATTCAACAAGAATTCTCCTTTTTCCAGTTGGAGAAGCTCTGCTTACAACAGTTCTCTGACCCGCCAGGAGGGGCGCGGATACTTTGACCTCCAGCGGAGCCAGTCACATCTGACTCTGGCTAAGTAGCTGCCCGTGCTCAGCGGGGCAGCCCCTTCCCTGGGGTGTCACCGTGGGCTCCCACCTGTCCCGTAGTGTGCTGCATGCCTTTCCAGGACAGAGCAGTCTCCCCAGGGCCCCGTGGGGACCGCGTCTGCTCACCTGCTCCGTGGGTCCTCACAGCCTCTCCAGGGACGTTCAGAATCCCGGGTCTGGAAGCCAAGACCCTCCCAATGTGCCGCCCAGTCCCTCCTTCTTCTGGTTGCCAAAGCATGAGGCCCCTCCCCTCCCCGAGGCCGGGTCTCTGTTCCTCTGTCACACCCTGCACACTCCTGCACCCCGCTTTGGAAACGGTGGTGACCGCAGAACGTTTACAGAGGAGGGGCTGGGGGAGAGCCGTCCGCTCCGGGTGGGGGTGTGAGGAGCCCCGGAGCCACGTGCACCCAGGCCTTTTCTAGGCTGGGTGAGGGGTCTGTCCTAAAGGGCAGGATGAGGGTGGGCCCGTTGACGGTGCTGGGGGTGCAGCCCTGTCACCCCCTTGGCCCACTGTGTTGAGATGGAGGCTCAGCCTGGCCCCTGCTTCAGGAGGCCTGTCCTCACCGCAGGCCCCGCCTGGACCCCGCTGCGACCCCCAGTGGGCTTGTCACGCTGGCAGCCTGCCTGGGCCCTGGGGGCTTCATGGCGAGCTCCCTCCCCGCCCCGCCCCCAGGTCTGTCCCTGCAGCACCGGCTCGAACTGGAAAAAAGGAGCCATTGCTTATCCCCAGAGGATGATCATGATGAGTTCTGGTTTCAAAACCTGGTGTGTTGATAAAAAATCTGAGGTCTCATTAAGGCAAACAGATTAGAAGACAAGGGTCATTGAAAAGACCGTTTATTATTCACCAATCCCGAGAGAAGGGACACGGCATTCCATGGGGGGGGAGGGGCCCAGGGTCGGCCAGGAGGCCGGGGGAGGGGTGTGGACAAAGCCTGGAAGGTGGTTCCCCCAGAAGGTCCGGGCCCCGCAGGATACACAGGCTTGGGATCGACTGGCTAGTCTGGACAATCCCAGCAGGCTCTGGGGTTCAAGGGCTGTCCCCAGCCGTCTGGCACCCGGCCCTGGGACCGTTAGGATGGGACAGTAGCCCGGGGTGTGACAGCCCAGTAAAGGAGGTGGGGGGTGAGAGTCCTGGACCGGTTGGGTTGCATTTGAAAAGCACGCTTGGGGCTGAGCTGTTTGCTGTCTTAGGGACCCACTAACCCTGGAAGGGGTGGTCCCTCCAGGGTCTCGAGGTCCCACGTATCAGAAGCACCGGAATGCAGGAGATAAGACATGGTCTATGCCGTCCTGACACTTGGAACATGTCTGCTTCTGTGATGCTAGGCTGGTGGCCTGACGGCGACCTCAGGTCTGTTCCCGGCGTCTGGCTTCCTGCAGGTTGCCACAGCTGGGCCATCTGGGGTGCAGTGAGGGCGTCAGGTAGAAGGCTCACACGGGGTCAGAGCGTTGGGCTCGCCACCTCTCCAGTCCTTTAGGGACTTCGGGACCGTCATGTGCTGGGAAGCACCAGCGGACTCCAGAAAGGCGCGCCGGTTACGGAAGCAGGCGTCCTCTCTCGATACGTACCCCGTCACGTGCTGGGCACAGAGCCTTTCCAGGCGCCCAGGCTCCAGGGGGCGGGCAAGGGGGAGGGACGTTTCCTGTGGGGTGAGGGTCTGCGGGCTGAGGGGCAGCACGGGTGCTGTGAACACACGGCAGGCAGGAGACACACCTCGGGAAAATACGTGTACCTTTGAGTTCAGCGTCTGTTGTGAAGGACTCTCTGATACAAGTACTGCGACGTTCACAGTCTCGATCCTCACAAGCAACTGAGAAGACTTTTATGAGCCGCTGGGTTGCAGAGCGCCCGAGAGTCTCCACGAGGGCCGTGCGCCCCTCAGCGCACCGCCCTGCGGACGGGCGGCAGCGGGCACCAGAGCCTCAGAGGGAACCACAGCCTCGGCCCCAGCGCTCTGGTCTTCAGTGCAAAACACCTTCTGGCTCCAAAAGGAGGTAACTTTGCAGGGACTTGGGCAAGGGCAGCAGGGGCACGAGGCGAAAGCACTTCTTGCCAAATAGCTTCCGGAGGGCACAGCGGCACAGGTGCTGCAGGCAGCGGGGGGTGCGGGCCAGAGCGAAGAAAGACTCGTAGAAGGTCTGGTGCGTCTGGAAAGAAGGCAGATGGAAGATCAACCTGTGGGCCTGGACCTGACGGCCGGAGGACCCCCCCCCCCCACCGATGCAGCGCCCTCCACCAGGGGGTGCGTATACTCTCCTGAGGTGTGGTGTCTGGGGGTCTGAAGGAAGTCGTTTTGGGTGACGATACAGATAATACAGGTATTCTCCTCAAATCCCCCTCTGCTCCCCCCTCCACCCCCGCTACTGCACAGTGTATTTGCTGTTGAGCAATGTGCACAGGACTCAAGTCAGTGAGACGTGAGGGGAGATATTCTAGAGGTTTCTCGGGGGGAAATACGTCCTTACTGTGTCTTAATAGACAATGACTGTGGACTTTGTTGGGTACACAGGTGATGCCCGTGAGGAGCCTGAAATTAAGGCCTCGGTTAAGAGCACCCTCGGGCTGCACGGAGCCCCAGTTCCTCAAATTGCTCAAGGCTGAAGCCATCCTCAGACCGCCCTCGGGTCAGCTAATCAAAAAACAGCCCCGTGGTCTGAGTCAGGGCTGGGAGCTGCAGACAGTTATTCTGTACAAACTAGCCAATCACTCACCGCTTGCCTGAACCCCATGTGGGCCCTTTGAACTCACCTCATAACTGGTCATTTTCAAAGGATTCTCAAGAGTCATGATTGGGTCCCACCGACAGTAACGGACGCCTCACAGATACTGAATGGCCAAAGCTGTTACCATGGGTGCTGCTGTACAATTGTGATTGGTGCTTATGTGATGATGCCATATGTACAATGTGTGCACCGTAACACCCCCGTCCCTGACCCCGTCCCTGACCCCGTAAAAACCCTGCTCGCTATTGTTCAGGGCTTCACCTTCTGCCACGACACCGGTAGGCGGGTGAGCCCCTGCTCGAGCTTGTAATAAAGACCGTTATGTACTTGCATCGGTGTCGGCTCCTTGGGGGTCTCAGGGGACTCGCGAATCGGGCACAACACCCGCAGCCTCCTCGGCCTCATCGAAGCTCTCAGGGGGATGGAGGAGACGCAGGGGAGGAGAGCCTGTGGATCCAGGTTTCGGGCGATTACTCCAGCCCTGACGGGGGCGGGGTGGGGTGGGTCTCTGCTCCTTTGGGCCAACAGCGCCCCCAGTGTGATAAGAGCCCTTGGCTGTGTGCTAATTCCACAAGCCCAGCAACCCTAGACACGCCTGCACTTTGCCTTTCTCTGTCCTTCTCCGGTGCTTAGCGCTTCCCCGGGTACAGTGTGCAGAATGGCACCCGCGGGTGAGCGGAGCCACCATGGTGCTGTGCTGAGGGGGCAGGAAGGGCGGCTCCCTTACCCGGAACACTTCCTCAGGAATCACTTCCCGCCAGGACTCGGAAACGCGGAGGTGAGGGTAAGAGTTGAAGACAGTCTCGATCACCGTGGGGGCTGGCGCGCAGGTCTTCAGCACCTGGTCGGAAGTGGTGGGAGACAGAGCTCGCGTTGGCTGGGTCCCGGGTCCGGGGTGGGGGTGGGGGGAGAAGGGCCGGCAGATGGGGGTGTGTGTGTGTCTGGGTCTCACTGCTGCCGCTCCCTGGCTGTGTGACCCCAACCTGCCTCAGCCTCACGGGGTACAACAGCCCTCGCATGATCAGGATAGCGGGGCCACGGAAGTTAGTTCTCAGACAAGCGCAAGTCAGCAGGCCTGTCTTTGACCATGACAGTCAAGTGGCCGTGCACATTGGGCCAAGCGCTTACACATTCCTTTCCCCAGGGGCAGGGTGCGGATGGCTCTGTGGGCTCTCCTGGCCTTTGGGCTGCTACTCAGAGAAGAAGAAGGAGGTTCTGCTGGTGGGGAGTCTGGTCCCAAGATGGTGTTTACAATTTCTTATCTCAATTTTCTAATGTGTTGGGACATTGAGGGAGAAGAATTGCTTTGCTGCTGAATTTCCTCCCGGCTTGGCCTTTCCGTTTTATTTCCAGTCTCTCCCGGCAAAGGAGTCCTGTTTACTTATTTGCAGATTTTACAACTGAGAGACCACTATTTGCTTTTTTAAAAATCAGCTTTTTCTTGAGATGGGGAGATGTGAATGAACACAAGAGTGGGTTGAATGGTATGAGAGCCCCCCGTGCACCCCCCATCAACACACGGCCAGTCCTGCTCCATCACACTCACATTACCTCCCTGATTATTTTAAAGCAAATGCAACGTATCCTGTCATTTCATCTATAAATATTTCAGCGTGACTCTTCAGTGTGTTTGAAGAAACACAACATCATTATACCACCAGAGAAATTAACGAGTTTCTTGGCATCAGCAAATATATGGCCAGTGTTTAAATTCACAAATTTCTCTTCAATGCCATTATAGAATTAAAAAAATTATTTGAATAAGAACTGAAATAAAGCCAACAAGGTTGGGACTGTTCGATGTATGATCAGATCCCTTTTTTTGGTATCATGTTATGTATTTGTTGAAGAAACTGGATTACTGGTCCAGTGGAGCTTCTCAGTGTTGGGCTTTTGCTCACAGTATTCCCATGGGGTCTGGAGACACGATGCTCCTCCTCTGCTTTTTGCAAATCAGTAGTTGGGTTTGGAAAATTGATCAAATTCAGATTTGATTTGGGGGAGGGGCAGGGCAATGTCATAGTTTTCTGTTTTTGAGGTTTAATATTCACCAACTGTTGTAAAATTCTTCTTAGTATTTCTTCGTTGAGAAAACTGAGGTGAAGCAATTTTCTTAAGATCAGGTACCAAATGTCTACAGCAGGTGATTAACAGACAGGGCCAAAAGCTGAGCTCACTGGGGCTCTGAGCTGTGTCAAATAGAAGAAAGTTCTCGAATCACCCAGGATGCCTCCTCCTTTCACAATTTGCTGAGCTCCCTTCAGATATGAAAACTTTGTAAGTTTTTTTTTTACATGTATTTGTTTTTGAGTGACAGAGAGAGACAGAGCACAAGTGGGGGAGGGGCAGAGACAGAATGAGACACAGAATCAGAAGCAGGCTCCAGGCTCTGAGCTGTCAGCACAGAGCCTGGTGTGGGGCTTGAACCCACAACCCGTGATATCATGACCTGAGCCGAAGTCGGACGCTTAACTGACAGAGCCACCCAGGTGCCCCTCCCTGAAACCTTTTTAAAAGAAATTGATATTTAACAGATGGTGCTGGGAGAACTGGACAGCAACATCCAGAAGAATGAAACTAGATCATTTTCTCACACCATACACAAAAATAAACTCAAAATGGATAAAGAACCTGAACGTGAGACAGGAAACCATCAACACCCTAGAGGAGAAAGCAGGAAACAACCTCCTTGACCTCAACCGCAGCAATTTCTTACTTGACACATCCCCAAAAGCAAGGGAATCAAGAGCAAAAATGAACTATTGGGACCTCATCAAGATTAAAAGCTTCTGCACGGCATAGGAAACAATCCATAAAACTAATAGGCATCCAATGGAATGGGAAAAGATAGTTGCAAATGACATATCAGATAAAGGGTTAGTATCCAAAATCAATAAGGAACTCACCAATCTCCACACCCGAAAAACAAACAAACCAGTGGAGAAACGGGCAGAAGATATGAATAGACACTTCTCCAAAGAGGACATCCAGATGGCCAACAGACACATGAAATGATGCTCAGCGTCCCTCCTCATCAGGGAAATACAAATCAAAACCACACTGAGA